TGTTTTGTTTTGTTGTGTTTTTTTAATTAAGGAAGGTATTCTTTCAAAATTTGGAGAAAAGTATTAATTTAAAAAAAATCCCATTCGGTTTTTCTGAATTAACAACATACTCTCTAGCCCTCAACCAGCCTCCAGCAAGGCTTTGGAATTTGGACATGGCTCAGGGCTGCCTCAGGCTGCAGTCAGTGTTAGGGTCTTTGGGTCAGGCATAGAGGGCTGAGGTCTCTGCCTGGGCTTGGAGATCCTGCTGGAGGTATTTCATGAACTAAGAAATTTTTTTTTTTTCTTTGTGAAAACCTTTCTCCAAATTCTGAGATAATAATCTTGTTGATTCAGATTTTTCTCTCTCCAGTGAATGCAATACACTTAAGTAAACCAAATATGTCACCTGACTTTACTGACAAACGTGTGTTTCTTCAGGAAAGTCCCAGACAGGTCTCGACATCCCACTGAATCGTGACTTCATTGAAAAAGGTGAGTGATAATCCTCCTGTATTTGTTGTTGTACATTTTTACACATTAGTTTTATTTGACGATGGTGTCTGTGTTTGTGTGCGTGTGCATGCGTTTTCAGTTACTGATGAATACAACGAGTCTCTGGTGTTCAGTCCAGACGACAGGCGTTTGTTCTACAGCATCAGGGAGCCCATCGTCAACAGAGTCTTCTCCAGCAGTAGGCAGAGAGGCTTCGCCAGCAAGTCAGTGAGCGTTCCTCAGTCTCACAACAAAACACTTAATAAGAGTTCACGCTGTAAAGATGTACTGTACTTTTTTGAACGCTGTGATGCCTCTGCTGCCTCAGGGTGTGTGTCCGCTCGCGGTGTTGGGACGCCTGCATGGTGGTCGACGGCGGGACCTCGTTCGAGTTCAACGATGGTGCCATCGCTACAGTCAGCATGAGCGAGGAGGATCAGCTCCGGACAGTCCTCCTCGAAAACTGAGATGAGTCCAGAGCACGACGACACTCAACTGGTTTCTCTCCGGTGTTCAAATGGATGTGGTCAAAGGGAAGAACCAGTTTTTAGCTTTAGCCTCTACAAGTGTTGAATATTTTTATACCTGGAAGAAAAGGTATGATTGTTACTATTGTAATATTAAATGTGTGCATTGTGCATTTATTTCCAAATCAGACTTTTTTTCTTTAGATTTTTAATCTTCATTATCAACAGGTAGGGCTGCACAAAAAGATTAATTACTCATTGATTCTAGGGACAAAATATGTTTATTGCACTTTGTAATGAACATAACACATTTCATTTCCATGTGAAAATAAGATGAGTTCCAAAACTTATTAACCAAAATGAAATCAACAGAGCACTGCCTTCAGTCTCACTGGATGGATACGGTGACACGCTGTGCAGCGTCTGTGCTATGGATATCTGAGTTGATGCTAGACAAGGCCGGTGACTCAGTGCGGTAACGTTAGCAAATGTATTTGTCTTGACCTTCATCGTACTGCAGCTTGTAGTGTTTTTTCGGGTGGTTGAATGCACTCTTTGGATATAATGTACTTGCTTCACATCACTTGCACCAAATCCCAAATACTTCCAACCGCCATGATCGTTTTTGCCTTCTGCTCCAGACATTTGAATTTTGTTTTGGCCGTCTGCTCTCGGTTGTATATTACCGGTACTACTCTACTCTGCACTGCAGCCGCAACATCCAGGAAATGATTGCATGCTGTGACATGACGGCTCCCCAGAAGCGATCACCCCTGGTGGGCTGGCTGTTTAGTTTAGCAAGCGTTTGATTTGATTTGCAGCTGGGTTTCCCAGTAGCGGAGCACACATTTTAAACATCAGTATTGGAGTTTATCATGTTTATTTCTGGGAAGCCAAAATCGTGATCACGATATTCCAATAATTGTGCAGCCCTATCCACAGGTTAAAACAGGTTAGAATCTGCTGGGTTGTACTGGCTATAATCCATTTTGTAGATACTGTGTCAAACAACATTGAAACCTGTTTTTCATTGTGTCAAATCAACAGTGAGTCTGTAAGCAGGGAAAGAGGTGAAAGATCAGGTATGAGGATTGTGTTAGTAGACAGCAAATTAAATGTTTAAATCTGTATCTGTTTCTGAGTTAGATGTCGGTCCATTCTGGTTGGAACAGTGACTTATCCTGTCAATAAAACTGACGCCTTCCCTTGATGATGATGCATGTCTATTTGGGGGTCAGATGCAAACAGACATTGTAATGTGCTTACACACCTGTGTATTCATTGGTTAATGCTTTTTAAAGGATGAAAATGTAAGATATTCTATTCTTTTAAATTATTGTCAACAAATCCCTATTAGTCAGCTACTTTTTCACTTCCTTAGCCTGTCTGTGGCTCTCAGCTCCAA